TTTCAATATATCTGTTTGTATTAAAGGGCGATCTAACTGGCACCAATGAAAACGATCAATTATGTATCTTGCGCAGTTATCTGCTGCTAAGCGGCGGTTCCATCACCTATTATTCTTATGTGCTACAAGCCTTGCACCGTCTGCTTCACATTATGTTTCGTAATAAACAGATTTTGCACAAAAATATCTTGTTCTATATAATTTTAATATGTATACAGTGGTCGATATCATTTCTGTTTCAAATACCAACTCTTTTTTTCGGTTCTATTACTTATTTTCCAGCAGAATATTTCTGTCTACCACCCCTAACAAACACCTGGATGTTTCTCTATGCAGCTTTGGTAATCTATTTCATTCCGTTACCCATATTAAGTATAATCTACATGAGGATAATCATTTATGTACGACAACAACGCACTCGTGTAACTATAGTTAAACGAGAATTAGCAGTAGCAAAACGTGTTCTTTTTCCACTTGGAGCTCTACTGGCTTTGGGTTTACCCTACGTAACTTTCTTCATATATATAAGCATCAATTCCAACCAGATCTATAAATTAACCTATCACCTTAGTTTTATGTTTGTTTCTTTTGGATGCGGCTTGATTCATATACTATCTTTGTTTTTAACACCAAACATCAAAAGCATCTTTTTGAATTACATTCGATGTTACAACCGACGTTCAAACAACCCACAACAGAATGGAATAATGAATAACGGAACGAAACTAAATCGAATACACCCAGCAGAAGCAGCTGCACCAGTGCAAATGAGGACAAATTTACATTAGAAAACATAGCTTTTGGTTTTTCATTCTAAAATATGTCAGAAATTACCAATATAGTTTGATAGTTTAGACGCCCGAAAACGACCATACCGACTATGAAGCTAAAGAAACGTCGCTTCTTGTATACGGCAGTGTGAAATGATGGACTAAATTGTGCATACTACAAGATTTCTAAAATCAATCGTTCTAGTACATTTCTATTGATACTGGTGACACGCTGGCAGTCTTATAAGAGAGTCGACAGTTTCATGGCTGTATGCCATGTCGCCACAACCAAAAACGTTTCTTCATGATTCAAGTCCTTTTGTCGAAATTACAAGGGTCACAGTGGAATAAGAGCAGCATGCGTTTTTTCCGCCGCAACAACCTCTTTTGTTTTTAGTTTATTGTATTGGTTCGTTTTTACTTTTTTGCTGTCAAATAAAATGTCTAAGTCTAAGTGAATAACACAAGAAAGAATGCATAAACATAAGTGGCGTAACGCAAAAAATGATTACAAATGCGAAAGTTTCGCATTTGGCAGTAGCCAAGTGCAGAAGTTCTGCATTTGACTGCTGCGAGTGGTAGTCTAAAAACGCGCCAGGCAAACGTATGGTTAAAAAGGCATTTTGATTAAGCAATTTCATTATTCCGCTTATTTAATACTTTGTATAGTACTGATGAAATCTAAAACAATTAAGGTGCGTGAATTTAACAATAAAAAATTGAACGCATACAAATTTAAATAAGAATTATTCATTTAATTGTTAAAAGCTTGTGTCATATTCGTAGCACAGTCATCCACTGTATTATAGAGTTTGAAAAAATTGTTTAACTATAAGTCAAGGACTTAAACATTGAGTATGATCAGTAGCATTTAACGGATCTATGCGATGCATTTTGAGCTAAATGCCATCTCTTTTCAGGTAGCCTACACGGAGAAAATAAAAACCGTGAAACTCATGACGGTTTTTATACGCGGTTTCTCGCAGTCAGTTTGGTACGATTTTTTTCGCGGTTTTATTGCTCATGCTTTTGCTTCCTAGAAAAGAATATAGTTCAGCTTTATAATAGTGTTAGATTGTGTAATTTATAAGTGAAAACGAAAATGTTTCTGTTTTGTATGACCGGCGCATTTTCTCTTTCTGTAAAAATAAGAGAAAAAGAAAAGAGAGAGAATGATAATGATCTAAATCAATGCGTAGACAAATATATTCTACGCATAGATTTTTCCACGCGTAGAACATAGTCTACGTCTACGTTCTACGCATTCTGTTATTTTTGGCGGCTTTCCTTACTCAATAAGTTTTGACATGAAACTAAATCGTCAGCGGATCTAGTTTCAGAGTGACTGTCAGACATTTGACTATCTACTGTGTCCAATCCTGCCCAGGTATTTGGAAATTTCTGAAGGAGACGCTTTGGTAGTTCTTATACTTCAACATGTTGCTTTCATCTGTTTCGTTTTTCCTAGCTAATCTCATTGAAATCGATAGCTAAATCTTTATAGCAATCCTGTTCAGTGAGATTCTCTCTGTCGACAGAAATATTTGAAACAATCGATTATTGCACCGAAGTTTTTATTTGTATTGTTGTCCTTTAATACCGATAATGTTATTTGTTGGCATATCTTTTTAATGTATAATTGTTACTTATCGTTAGAATCAGTTGTCATACAATGATTTCTGTACAGAGAAAATTGATAGTAACGTTCGAACTTGAACAGTTACAAAAAATTTCCTGAAGTGCCAGAACCTGTAATTGGGAAATTACAACAAGTAAACACTTCCCTCCATACTGCTTGTGGTTGGTTATAAAGGCTTTAAAATATGAGCTTTCCGAGTGGTAGAAAGCGAAAAAATTGTTTTTTAGCATGAGAGTGAGTTACAAAACAATATTGCGCTATTTATTTTTAGATGGAGAAAATATGAAACTATGGAGCTCTTATTCATACTATGATGCTGTGAAACTATGAACTCTTCTTTATACTATAGATGTTCACTGTATGAATTGATACACCTCGAAGCTTAGCAGTATTTTCGCCATATGTTTTTATCTTTAAGGTATATAGGAAACTGTTCAATATGTTTTCTCCAGAGAACTAGACAACGTTTCTTTTTAGAAAAGTTTAGACATAAGCAGATGAGTAGAGAAAAAGTGTTTGAAAAATACGCTGAGGCTCATTTCTTCTGAGACATCCGCTACCCTTGTTTCCGTAGTCATATTCACATCCTAATGATGCTCGTCAAAGAGGTTGAAATGTGAGCGTACAAACTGCGCGTATATATGCAACGCAGGAAAACAGTATCTAGATATGGTACGATAGGGATATTGTTCAATTTAGCGACATATTAGATTATTCTTCTATACAAAACAACAGGCAAGTCTTATTATTTTACTACTTACTTTTGATCTTTTCGTATCACAATAACGAAACATTATTTTGAGTTGAAAATCTTTTTTGAACAGCAATGACTAAGAGCTTCCTGTTTTGATTATCGTTTGGTCTAATTACATAGGAAACAGCATAGATAAGAAGCTTTATTTCTCGCAGACAACAAGTCAGATTCAATTAGAATTTTTGCTGGAAGTAGTCATATATGAGATGAGTCTGTAAAAAGATTTTCAGTTCAAAATAATCTTTCGTTATTGAGATATAAAAAAGAAGCTAAGTTACTGCAAGTACAATGAAGATACCGTTAGAAAGAATTATTTCGCTTGTTTCTCCGGAATCAAGCAGCTATGACACAAATCCTTTTAGGGTGAAATAAAAAATAATGTACAGTTAAGATGCTACACTTGTATATGAATCGAAAAGGTCAGCATTGATATTTGTCCTTCGATTAGTACATACAGTTATGTGCGATGCCATGTAATCTAATGATAAAAATTATGTTTAAATTTAAATACAAAGTATCATGTTCTCCATTATTTCATATCGTGAATCTTTTATGTACGATATATGGTTTAGCCAATCGAGTAATCGTTTGTCAAATGATGTTTCTATGCTTCAAATTTGAACATAAACCAGCCGTTCCATTTTGGATAATAATAAGGGAAATATGTCTGATTTCGTCGTTCAATTCTACTTTTATGCTCCGCATTTGTATGTTTGGTAACACAATTGCCATTTAAGGGATTATTTCATATTGGAAAAAGTCAGATAGATGTAATTCTTTTAGGATTTTGTTAATTTCTTTTTGATGTTCAATATAATAGACAAAATCTACCGTTTTATCTATCTTTAGTGACGTTAGTTGCGGCATATGTTTTAATAGTCACACAACAAAAGTCCGTCTTTCCTATAATAACTGTAAAATTCCAACGACGTCACCTTTGTCAATGACAAATACTTTCCCAAATAATCTATATATAGAGCTTGAGCACTAACGGTATAGGAGCGAACATGTAAATATAACTGTTCAACATTCGTGTAGTAATTACTTTTAACCATTTTATAATTTTCGTACACTTGATCCAGATGAAATACCAGTTGTTTGCGTAGAATATAGTCTACGTCTACGTTCTACGCATTCTGTTATTTTTGGCGGCTTCCCTAAAGGCTTTACCTATCAGTTTTACAGAATACAATTGGAGCAATAAGGAACATTTATTGCAAAAGTTCCACATCTTTTCCTCTTTTATTCATTGTACTTTAATTTTTGGAAAAACGCACTTGTTTCTCCCATGTAATAGAAGAAATAATCAAGCCATCAATGACTAAGATATGTTTAGTCATTATCTCTAGTTTTTTCTGCTACCTGTTGAATTTTCTTACTTATTGTCTTTCTCAAATTGTGTACGATGAACATGAACCAGAGGAAACTGTTGGCGCAAGGCCACGAGAAGAAGAAAACACAGGAGAATTATGGGTAGTGTCCCGTGTACAAGAAGAACGAAAAAATAAACAAAGGTGTTTTAACTTATAAAAAAGAAAGAAGTAAAGAAAATCTACAAAACGACGGTACAATACCCGCTTCACTTTATCAACAAAAAATATTTTATGCAGGGACTCTACATAACTCATCGTTTATTCTTTATCTTCGCATATAAAAGTCAAGTGCAGTGGAATAAAACTAAAAGATCATAACATTAGAAGTTTAACAGTTATCCTCATCTAACTGTCTTTTGCTGAGTGCCGCTACATAAAGGTATATAAAGTTTCGACTTTTCTTAGGTCAATATAATTCATTATGAATTACATATTACAATCTTTCTAGTCCAATTCCGACAAAAATGAGTGCCGTTAAGAAGACGCCTACATCAAGTTCAGAAAAGTTAAAAGCTCAAGCAAACGCAGCATACAACTCTGGCAATTATCAGATGGCTATTGAACTGTACAGCTACGCTCTCGAACAAGTACCCAAATACGCTCCATATTTAACAAATCGGGCGTTGTGCTACTATCGCACGAATGACGCCAACAAAGTACTGAAAGACTCTTTAGCAAGCATTGAGTCTGATCCGAACTGGGTGAAGGGTTATTTCTACAAGGGAAAAGCGTTAGAAATGTTGAACTGTAAGCAAGAAGCAATTAGTTGTTATCAGAAATGCTGTGAAATGGAACCGAATCAAGAAGAATACAAGAAAGTGTTGAGAGAATGTTCAGGTCAAACGACGACGAATGTAATATCGACTCCTGCATCCAATGCTAACTCCCAGCAACTTGCTCAACATAATGTTCGATGCGATGTGTGTAATTGCTGTCCAATCATTGGCACTCGATACAAATGCTCTGAATGTTTAGATTATGATTTGTGCTCGAAATGTCTCAGCTCAAATCCAAACCAAAAAGGACATAAAGACACTCACTCATTCATACCTTACAAACAACCGCAACCAGTTACTCGGCCGACAACTTCTTCATCACCATCACCCGTCCGACAAATCGGTGTTGGTGTAGCCATTCACAGTTACAACGTTGTTCTAGTCATTGATGTCTCGCTGTCGATGATTGGTTATGATTCGAATAACAGGATAAATGAATCAAAAAATCGTTGGCCAGCAACAGAACGAGGAATCATAAAAATTGCGAATCAGTTGGGACTGAATGATCGTTTAACATGTCTTGCATTCAATGCTAAAGTCTATGAAATCATGGATGCCGAAACAGCAAATGTAGCCAAATTGAAGTTAGCCTTGATTATGTCTCAACTAAAACCGGCACTCGATGATGCAAATTCTGGCACAGCATTGTACGATGCAATAAGTTCAACATATAATGTCTTGTTGAGAAATAAGTTGGCGGGTTTGTTCATGCAAGACTCAAATCGAAATCAAATAATATTGATCACCGATGGTGAAGATGTTAGCTCAAAACAGAGTTCACTGCTAAATGCTTCCAGACAAATGAAAGAGATATGTCAAGATTTAGATACTGACGTACTGATGATCGGAATCGAGCTCGAGTCACAGGGACGATATGCGATGAATAGACTTAAGCAAGCTGGCGGCGATAAATGTAAATTCATAGACTTGAAAAATCTGACAGAACTGGATGATTTATTTGATAGGTTATCGTTGGTTTTTACTCAACGATCAGCTGTCATCGATGTATAAAGTTTTAAATTTTTATTTATATCTGAGCAAAAACAATATTTTTCTGTCTTACTTTTACATAGATTGTCACCTAATTCTTCTTTCAGCCAGGAAGCTTTTATTTCTGTCGACAATTTTTACGCAAGCGTTTTGCTGTATAATGTACCTACTTTTCTGCTTTTAAAGATATTCTTCACGTATAGTCGTTCATAATCTTCAGGTTATAAATGATTAGACGATTAAAGTTCGGTCTATCCAGCCAAATTCTCAGTTTTGCCCACAAATGATGACAGCAGAACATTTTACGTCGAAGGTTTTTTAGATTTATTCACAGTACAAAGTTTTACTTAAATTATTTCGAAAATTTGTTTTGTTACCTAAATAGCTTGAGGCCGACCAGACAGATCTTTTCCAATTTAAACAAAATAAATAAATGTCTCAGAGAGCAAGAAATAAAAAGACTTGGAATCATTGACACCTGAATATGTACAGATCGATGTTGTGTTTGCGTAAAATAACGACGATATCAACTGCCATTATTAAAATACGATAGTAGTGCCAAAGCTGAAAACAGAAGAGATCATCTTTTTCTTTCATTAACCAGTTCATGCCCAAATTTTTCTGAGAGTCGCAGAACTTTCATTGGGCGTTCCATCGAGCAGGCTTGGGCGAGTCCGGACTGGAAGAGTTTTTGGCGGACTTGGACTTGAGTTTGTGTATTTCAAGTCCAATCTATTCAACTTCTAACACAAATGAGCAGAGAAAAATGAAAAGCGAAATAACAACACCTACTGTTTCACATGAAACTGAAAATTTTGTTCGGGAGACGGACATGGAACGTAACCTTATTTTCGAAAAATCAAGTATGTGTTCCAGGGCTCAGTAAATTAAAATATAAACCATTCTCATCAAAAAAAAATCTAAAAGATTACCGGACTCGAAATGGACTCGGCCTCGGCTTGAACTTGTATGGACTCGGACTCGCCCAAGCCTGTCATCAAGTACCTTGAGGCTAAGAATATCGAATTTTATGGACTCGCCTGCAAGTGCACTTTTCACATGGAAATAAAATATTCATTAAAGCAAATTACTGAACTCTACTCTTATTCTTCATTGTGAACAGACGTGTGTTTTGAAACGTGTTTATTATTACTGCTATTCTTCACTGTATTTTTATTCTGTCTATATATGTCGTAAATAGAGAAAAAGGAAAAAAGAAAATTACTGATCTACATTAGATTATTGCTTGAATAGTAAAGACAGAAAAAAGGAAAGAAAAAAGTGATGTAGATACAGATATTTATTCAAATTCAGTGATTCATCATGAATAAATATTCACCGTCTGTTCTCCTATCAACTAGAGATGACAGAAAAAAAACATAAATGAGTATCAAAATATTTCTCAAATTTTAATCAAATTTTTTTCATGAAATTTTTTCCTTAGTTTTCAATATTTCTTGAGGCACGCGGCTCTACTCTAGATCAGAATACACAACTATATTGTGCAAATAGTATCGCTCATCGACGCTTCACAAACGAACAATCTTCAGAAGAAGGAACAATTTAATCAGCAGTTCCGCATGACTGTACCATGTTTACAGTTTGTGGAGTTTTTCTCACTAGGTCAAATTTGTCATCTGCAAAGTATTTCCTGAGAAAGAAGATAAAAACCAGTTTTTATTTAAAGTCGGACTCTAATCCTTCTAGAATAGCCTAAATCTCAACTTTTTTAATTTTAAATTCAGCAAGTAGCAGTGTCATTCCTTGTCGTCCTTAACCAAGATAGGCTTTAAAGATGACTAGTTTCGACCCACTCTTTGTAATAAGAAGCGGTCATTACTAACATCTATTTTTTGTCTCACCCTACACCGAAAGGCATCTCGGTATACCTACTTACCACTTACTAATATCTATTTCTATCGTTATAACGAGAACCAGTTTCCATCGAAAAAGTTTTGCTTCGCGATGCGGTGAGCTTTTGACAGTAGCTTTCAACTATTATTAGCATCCCAGAACAAGAACAGGAGCTCAACAAATTTTTTCATTCAAGTTTTCCAAAATTAGCAAATTCAGTAGCTTTCTTTAAGCAGTAGGTTCTTTAAGGAAGCGAGTTTAAATCTCTGAGCTGAGGATATAATATAAAAGATGACTAAATTTTTTCATATAGTTGCTGTTTCGTGACGAGTGTGTGATAAAAGAACGTTATATAGAAATTTTGCGTATGATAGGTGAAACAAGATAACGCTTCTGAAGTGCTTCATTTTGATGTAGCAGAAAAGAAAAGGCAATGGCGTAGTAAAAGAATAAAATGACTGAAATGAAAGTAAAATACGATTCGATCCACAATACAGCTGAAAGTAACACCAGCGTTATCAATCACAAGAAGCATAGCGATGCAAAATAATATGCTTGCAGGCCACGATGACTCATCAAATCATTAGTAGACTTCCAGTGCTTTTTTCGGTTCTTAAGGACACAAATACATTGGATGCAAGTTTGGCATTTGAATAAGGATCAAACGGGATTTTATTTTCTGTTTTCATTTTTTTATGATCTATTGTAGTTACTGAGATATTCACTATTCTACAGTATAGGAGGCGCTTTTCGTAGTGTAGAATAGTGAATATCTCAGTAACTACAATAGATCATAAAAAAACGAAAACAGAAAATAAAATCCCGTTTGATCCTTATTCAAATGCCAAACTTGCATCCAATGTATTTGTGTCCTTAAAAACCGAAAAAACTGCACGAAAGAAGCATTTTTTTTGCAGCCTGAAAGCACACTAAAAGTTTGTGCTAAATAACTCGACTTTCGCCTTATATTTCCTTTCGATTTATAGCATACTAATCCTCAATTCAGTTTGTTTAACCTCACTGATTCTAATATTGCTATGCATCTATGATAAACAATGATGAGTCACGTGTAATGTATCTGATTTTGTACTGCTGCTTATCCAGGACCTAATCAATTTACTGTTCCTCTAAATATTTTCGTATTACAGCATTTCTTGAGTAAAGTTATTGAGTTTCATAATACAATGTATGTATCAAGTTGGAAAACTAACTTTCTTTTTTTTTTCGAAGAAGCGCTTACTCTTCAGCAGGACATAATTAGATTTTTGGTTTTTCCCCGTACTAAAGTATCTTTCTCTAGTGTGTACTAACATATCGGTATTGACGTTAATACTTTGATTTTATAGTTTCTTGCGCAGGTTTATAGCCAAATCGTTTATAACATCACAACATCATCACCGTAAATCACTTAATTTTTACAAAGAGCTGCAAAACTGTTTTATCACAAAATAAACATTTTGATATCTTAATTCATTTATTTTGCTCTCCTTTTTTATTGTCTCGTTGATAATATTTGATTGCCTTGACAAGTGGGACGCGCGCAAATCAATTCAAATAAAGACATAAAATGACTTGTATGTACAGCTGGTTCTGAAGCATTTTCATTCAAAAGTAATTGTTAAAGACCTAACGTAAAAAACGAGCAGTAACTCAGTCAAAAAAAAATATTAAGAGGAGGAGTATGGTAGAGCGCTCTTTTTGGAAAAAAAAGAAAGGAGTAGTCTATTTCCCAAAAAGAGTGTTCCAAAAAAGAAGTAATCTCGATAACCCTTTTTTAAGAATTACTCTGGAGTACTCAAAGTGCATGTTCTCAAAAGAAGTAGTCCAAAAACTACACTTTTTTTGAAGTGTTCTGCAGTGCCTCGACTGCACTTTATAAAAATGAGTGCTCCGAAGCGCTTTTTTTTTGAGAAGTATTCTGGACTACTCTAAAAAACGAGTACTCTAAAGTGCTTTTAGTGGCTCTTTTCAAAGGAATGATCCATTTTTCAAAAGGAGTGTTCCGAAAACGGAGTACACCTTCATACTCCTACTTCTGACCTTTTTTTGGACTAGGAAGCAAAGTAACATGAGTATATGTATCAAATGAACGAGCGAAAATAGGTGGAAATGTTTTCCGATCTTCAAGATACAAAAGAAAGCAGTAAGGAATAAACTGTTTTTCAATGTCAAAATATGTACTTATTGGCAAAATAGTTCTTGACTATGCTCATTTATCTAAGAGTTTTGTAATGTAATGGAAAATGTGGATATACCAGAATGGCGAATTTACGAAATACATATGAACCGTAAAGTACTATCCATTTCAAAACAGAAGTCACACGGTTATTTTTAAAATAACGTTTCGAAGAAAAGAGGTAGAGACCTGAAGTTCTGAGCATTCGACAGAGGAGATCTGCTATTTGCTTATGAAAACATAGGTTTAGGACCCCTCTTTCGAATGCTCGAAACTTCACGTCTTTACCTCTTTTCTATGAAATATTATTCCAAAAATGTCAATGACAAAAGTTGTTGAGAAATATGTGATTCAATGTTACTTAACTAGAATTGCAGTTTGAATTTTTAGAAATTTCTTGTTGTCTTGTTTGTAAGGTTACTCGAAAAAGCAGACTGTTTTTGAGAAACAGAAAACAAAGACGGAGGGTTTTTTCGACTAATCTTATAAACAAGACAAGACAAGCATGAGAAAAATGGATTTTACCAGAAAGCCCAAGCTTTTTTTAGTCCGTCCATGATGATTTATGCTATTCGAACAGATGTACTGCGAGATGAAGAATATTCTGTGAAAGTTTCAATCAATTTGGAGCTTCGGAAACATTCGGAAACTTATTACATTGAGCATACTTCTTCAGAAAGCACTTAAAATAGAAAGAAAAATTTGTTTTGCTAACGCTAAAGTCTCCAAAAAACGGTCTTTTAATGAATCAATAGCTAAAAGGTTCTAGATTCCAAATATATAGTTTTTCAAGTTTCAAAACGGTAAACTAAAGGAAAAACTGTTTTCTCATATAGATCACCAAAATACGGATATTTTTTATTGCCATTTTTCATGCCTTTTTACCACAAATCCACCACTTGTGGGAAGATCTTTTACGCCGTTAAATAGCTTGTGGTCCGAAGTATGTGTAGCACAATTCGAATCGTCTAAAAGGGCACTTTTAATTTTTCACCTAATGCCCACATATATGTGAACACTTGTAATAATCACATTATAAAGAGATGAGATTGTTTGTTAAGTGATATGTACTCATGTCTAGGCGACAGTGGGCAACGATATGGTTACCCACTTTCAGTACAGTATATGAAAAAGGAACTTCATAGAAAACAAGCTGAAGAAAATAAGTAAAAATTGCAAGTCGTTAAGTTATTGTTATCTTTTGGAAGGCGTCGTCCACGTAAAATTCATTCACAAAAAGTTATTTCGATCGGCATAACATTTGACAGACTTTAGGTTTGAAGCGTTGTCGGAGGAAGAATATTTTCTTTCGATTTTAAAACTGTCACGAAGAAAATAGTTCATCTTCGAGACAAAAAAATAACTCGCTTCTGCTCCAGAAAATTGCTGTGTACGTACCAATGACAACAGTCAAATAGTTAGATTAACTGCAACAAAACGAAATAAACACGGGCAGAAAACACTCTTTGAGTGTTATTGTGTTATTCATCACTCGAAAGAAGTGAATAAAGTTGAATGAAAAGCGCTTTGCATTCTAGCAAATGACCACTTGAATTGTATTGATGTATATCTGTTATATACGTTAAAAGAGAACGAAGGATAAACAAGGACGATAATATACTCACACTGTCTATCTATTTTTCTTCTTTCGACGAATAGACGAAATAAAAAAAAACATTATATGGTTACAGACAAAGAAGAGGAAAATATGAAGTCAGTGGATTTGATCCTAGCTTCGTGCAACGATTTATTTAATGGGGATTAATATTCTCGCTTTCTTACTATTTCAAGAAACAGCCTAAACCAAGTCTGCGAAAGCAAAGAATGATTAGTTGGAAAAATTTTCCTCTACAGTGTGCGAAGGAAAAACCTTGCTGTAATCTTACCGTGATTCCGTCACAGTTTTGAAACACAAACTGGAACGGGATCTCATTACTGATTTGATTAAGAACACGATTACAATTATAAGATCACGATTTTATTTTGTCAAGATCAGCATTTTCTCGTTATACGAGACAAAATTGTGTTCGCGATCAGATCTCAGCAAAAATGATACTAGGGTCGCCCGCTGACCTCGCTGCTCTTTTTATCTCGCTATTACGCGGATAGATAGATAGATAGATCTATTTTACACAAAGGTAGGGTATCACGAAAAAGTACCAAAAAGACTTGTGGCATCCGGAGCCATCTCATGATAACCTAAACTAAAAAGTTTCTAAAACGAACCGCTAGTATAAGCCAATATCTCTTTAGTTTCATGCAAAGGGTTTTCGTAATTATTCTTCCTTTTTCTACGATTTTTTATCTTGTTGCACTCTTTAATTAACGTGCTCCAACGTATGAAATAAGATATCCCGTAAAAAGCGCTATTTGAACCATTTAATGCCGTACCGGACACAATCTGTTAACGCGTTACAACAGTATAAAATCTGTGCTCCGTCACAACGCTTGGCACTTTTATCGATGAATTGTATCACTTTTACGCTGTAAAAGTATCGGGAAATAATTTATTTGCCACGCATCGAGAGTAGATACGGAAGAATATTGCGATAAATACTGTCCTTGTTGTCTTAAATAAACTTATCTAGTTTTATGGAGCTAAAATATATTTGCAATGTTCTCGAGATAATAAGTTTCATCGCGATGCATATTAGCACTAGCGCAATGCTTTATATTTCCTCGATAAACACTAGAGTTATCGCAGAAAGCTTCTTTATCGGAGCAGTATTTTATCTCAGTAGAGACCGATAAATTTATTTTACCGTGATAGTTCTAATGTTTAGCGCGATATTTCATTGATTAGGTAAAATTATCGCCTCTAATCGAGATATTTTATAGAAAAAAACCTCATGGGCAGACCATACTTACAGAATATTAAAATCCGAATATTTGGCATATAAGATTATCTGATTGTCTACTTCTCTGCTTCATAAGAAAGACAGATCATACTTAGAGAATATTCAAATCTGACTATTCGAGATATAAGACTATCTGATGGTCTGATTCTCTGCTCCGCAAGAGATACACATCATACATAGTAACTATTTTTATATCAGTATGAAAAATGAGTATAGTATAACAGTGCAACAAAAAAAACGATATGTCTTTTATTTATTTAATGACTAAGGAGAAAGAATGATAGTTTTACCTCTTCAATGATTAGAATGTTGCATAATACCTTGAAAGTCGATATTTAATTGCATAGAGTTAGGGACCTATAGAGAAAGTTTGAACCAAACCTGACTAGAGATAGCAGTTGAACATCGTACTACAAAATGAAAATCATGTTTTGAAAAAGACGATGACTCACATTAATCGTAATCACTTGCGAAATGTCTACACGATTAGTCATCGCTCACTCACAAAAGAGGTAACAAAGTTCATATGCATATTCTTTCTCAGATAATGTGCTGCATCTAGGGCAGGGCTGCCAAATCCAAATTTACAAAACCAGGAGTTCACCAGCAGATTTTTAAAATCAGAAGAAAATCCAGGAAACGTTTTTCGTTTCCTCGTTCTGATTAACGATTCTTACGATCTTTTATCGAAATCAGGAAGCTTTTTGATTGTCTTTTTTCGAAGAAAACTGGAATTTTCGCTTCCGCATGCGATTGATATTTTCTTCTGATACGTTAATTATGGCTAAATTTTTCTACGTGATATTATATATATATATTATATGACAAAGATCAAAGATAATTATGTGTTCTATAGTATTATTTATTTCGCAACTACTCACAAAATGTACAAAAGAAAGCAAGTAAAATCTATTTAGAAACTGAACCACAAATACCAGTACATAGAAACCATAGATTATCATTCACACTGTTCGTGGCACTTTCGCAATATAACCATATTTTTCTGATGATCGAATCTGTTTTAATAAATCCTGATTATTGAGCGGATAATCGTAAAATTGAGAATAGTTATATTGAGCATTTACTTTAATTTTTAATTCTGCATCAACAAGATCATGCATCCTGCTGCTTCGATTATTATTCCATAAATATTTCATGTGACTGAATACTGATTCACAAAAAGCATTGGAGGCTGGTATAGAGAAGACGAAATGAACCAATTTTTTAAATTTAGGAACATTTTCACCATGTTTTTGTGAAACAGAGATAACAACGACGGAGTGTTTTTCCGACTAATCTTATAAACAAGACAAGCATGAGAAAAATGGATTTTACCAGAAAGCCCAAGGTTTTTTTAGTCCGTCCATGATGATTTATGCTATTCGTATAGATGTACTGTGAGATGAAGAATATTCTATGAAAGTTTCAATCAGTTTGGAGCTTCGGAAACATTCGGAAACTTATTACATTCAGCATACTTCTTCAGAAAGCACTTAAAATAGAAAGAAAAATTTGTTTTGCTAACGCTAAAGTCTCCAAAAAACGGTCTTTAATAAATCAATAGCTAAAAGGTTCTAGATTCCGAATATATAATTTTGTAAGGTCCAAAACGCTAAACTAAGGGGAAAACTGTTTTCCCGTAGAGATCACCAAAATACGGATATCTTTTAGTCATGCCTTTTTCCCACAAATTCACCACTTGTGGGAAGATCTTTTACGCCGTTAAATAGCCTGCGATCCAAAGTATGTGTAGCACAATTCGAATCGTCTAAAACGGCACTTTTAATTTTTCACCTAATGCCCACATATATGTGGACGCTTGTAATAAACACATTATAAAGAGATGAGATTGTTTAAATTACGAGAATACATTAATAAAAGTCAAAAAAGGTGAGAAACTCCTTACTAAACCTTTTAAAGGGTTCCGTGTATTTGCAGTTTCCGGAACCCTTTTAGGTTTTCTAAGATGCTTATTTTTGCAGTTCTTTCTGACAACTCTGAACACATGAAAATAGCAAAAAATGTGTGGAGACCACGTTTTAGGTCCAGTTTAGTGGAATGGTCGATTTAGAATAGCTGACGTTAGTTGTTGATCGTTCAAGAGTATAGTATAACAATGCAACAAAACGATATGTCTTTTATTTATTTAGTGACTAAGGAGAAAGAACGATAGTTTTACCTCTTCAATGATTAGAATGTTGCATAATACCTTGAAAGTCGATATTTAATTGCATAGAGTTAGGGACCTATATAGAGAAAGTTTGAACCAAACCTGACTAGAGATAGCAGTTGAACATCGTACTACAAAATGAAAATCATGTTTTGAAAAAGACGATGACTCACATTAATCGTAATCACTTGCGAAATGTCTACACGATTAGTCATCGCTCACTCACAAAAGAGGTAACAAAGTTCATATGCATATATTCTTTCAGAAGAAATAGAAAGAGCAAGGCAACGATTAGTCATCAAAGAATTACTCATTCCGTCAAATGCACAGATATAAATAACCCGTCAAATCTGTAAGAGACTCCAGAGCAATTTAAAAATTTGTTTAAAGAATATTTGTTTGAAGAGAGATTTTCAAGCATGCGTGAGTGTATCTCAATTCACATTGGGCAAGCCGGAGTTCAAATTGGCAATGCATGTTGGGAACTGTATTGTCTCGAACATGGTATTCAACCTGACGGTCTAATGCCATCAGACAAAACAATTGGTGGTGGCGATGATTCATTCAGTACGTTTTTCTCCGAAACGGGTGCCGGAAAACATGTGCCTCGTGCCGTTTTTGTCGATTTGGAACCAACAGTAATTGGTAATATACAGATTTTTCTCATTAGTCACCTATGAATCACTTATCGTTCCTTTTTTGATAACAGATGAAGTGAGAACTGGCACATATCGTCAATTATTCCATCCTGAACAACTGATTACAGGCAAAGAAGATGCTGGTAAGAGTTTTAAAGGAGGAAATAAGTTTTGTGAAACTCTACTCTGAATATGAGTTGTTTTACAATTTTTCGTGAATTTTCTTGAAAACACAACTTTATCACATTTGCTTTCCAATAGCCAACAATTATGCACGTGGTCACTACACAATCGGAAAAGAAATTGTTGATCTTGTTCTTGATCGTATTCGAAAACTAGCAGATCAATGTACCGGTCTTCAGGGTTTTTTAATTTTTCATTCGTTTGGTGGTGGTACGGGCAGTGGTTTCACATCGTTGTTAATGGAGCGACTGAGTGTCGATTATGGGAAAAAGTCCAAATTAGAATTTGCAGTTTATCCTGCACCACAAATCTCAACAGCCGTTGTTGAGCCGTATAATTCAATCTTAACCACACACACAACACTGGAACATTCCGACTGTGCATTTATGGTGGACAACGAAGCCATTTACGATATTTGTCGTCGAAATTTGGACATCGAACGTCCGACATATACAAATTTGAATCGACTCATTGCACAAATCGTCAGTTCGATCACGGCTTCACTACGATTTGATGGTGCGCTGAATGTCGATCTCACAGAGTTTCAAACAAATCTTGTTCCTTATCCACGAATTCATTTTCCACTGGCGACATACGCGCCAGTCATCTCAGCCGAAAAAGCCCATCATGAACAACTGACGGTGGCTGAGATTACAAATGGTAGGTAATGGAAGGATGTAGGAGAAGGAATGTTCTAATTTATTCTTACTTACAGCTGTATTTGAACCTGCCAATCAGATGGTCAAATGTGATCCGAGACATGGAAAGTATATGGCATGTTGTCTGTTATATCGTGGTGATGTAGTGCCAAAAGATGTAGGAGGTAAGCACTCATGACAATTGTGCATGCCGAAAAATGAGCTAAAAGCAATGGAAACTTATCACATAGTTTTTGTTGATGCTTCCTGTGACTTAAGAAGACACATAAGACTGGCCTAGATCTCAAAACCTGACTTCTGAAAATCAGCTATAGAATTTTTCACGGAAAACTCCATCATAGGTCAATTCCAGTATTCTGATGATTCTTGATCGTTCCACTATTTTAAACAGAATGCATAACACTTGAAAAGAGGAAAACACAATACAATTTTGTACCGAAATATACACCATAGTGCACATAGCATCTAGAACTGAACTCATTTTCAGTCATCTAAAATGCGATAAGATTAGAATTTATTTAAAACCTGTCTCCTTTTCTTTGACTCCTGCTATCATGGTTCACTTCTGAGGTGAAGATTGACGTCTATGCTCACTAAGAGTAAAAGACAGGAGGGGTGTTCAAGGTTATCCAAATTTTATCAAGCGGAATTAAATATCTATTATTTTCAAAAAATAGAACTAGAAAGGTGCGCATGCACCTTTAATTAGCAACGAACAACCCAGATCAGCAGGGATGTATCGAATAAGGTGTCTTTCTTTGTTTTTGAGTCTTGCTAATTCTCGTTATGTCGTCGATTCTAACAAAACGAGAAAAATAATGAGCATTAAATTACCTTCACCTTTAAGGTATAAAGCAGACAAAAAAGATGCACTGGTTGCTTGAGCAACAATGGTAAACGCTCAGTAAATTCACAGTTATAGGAATTTAGCTTCCACCCAGTATTTTATCTAGGTTTCGTTTTCCGGTTGGGCGCTTGGGATTTTTGAAGGGGCTGTTGGGGGGCTAAAAACTTTGAGAGTAAAAGTGAGAGAGAAAACATTTTTTTTGTACGAAATCAGCTGTATAATTTTCGGTTAGGCGAATCGAAATTCCGGGTGGGCCGCCTAACCTGCCTACACGCTAGATCACCGCTTCCACCAGAAATAATTTGCCTCACTTTAAGTAGGCATGCAACGGCTATTTTATCGGAGCTCTTGGGGGAAGTAGTTTTAAAATCGGAGAAAGCTTTTAAAATTTTTTCGAGTCAACAGTTTTGTGCTCAAATGTTTGCTATACAAAAGCAAGACATTGTAGACTTTCTCACGACGATTGGTCGATGAGATACGAATTCTTTTCTCTAAAAATAGGACCGGTTATTAACCGGTGGTTAATACCCGTAACGCCGTGACATTTGGACAAGCCGTTGGGTGAAATGAAAAGAGGATGTCTTACCAGATCGTCGTTTTTTCGAAAGAGAAACGAAAATATTCAAACATATGTTGTTTTCTCTCCAATTAAGCACAAACTATATATTTCTACTACTGGTGTCTACATTGAGATCGGACGTAAGCTAAGCTCTAGCACCCTTCAACTTTCGTCGACAAATGATTACTCTGCAATCGAGAGAATTGTTTTCTCTAATATCACTTTTCTTTATATCCAGAGTACGAGTTTCTAGTAGAATTTTGTGAAAGGAAAGTGTTTTTAAAAAGCAGAAAGAGAATCCTTGCTCTCCTCCTGGTTGAGGTATTTTTAGATGCTTTTTCGCGTGCGCTTATTGACCTCTAAGATGGTTTTTTCTATCAGCTGCCATTGCCTCCATCAAAACTAAACGAACAATTCAATTTGTCGATTGGTGTCCAACTGGCTTTAAGGTCGGAATTAATTATCAACCGCCTACGGTTGTTCCTGGTGGCGATTTAGCCAAAGTTCAACGTGCTCTGTGTATGTTATCAAATACAACGGCTATTGCAGGTACGGTAGACTATGAAATAATTTACCTCAAATAATTGAGTAACGTTTCTTTTTGAAAGAATGTTGGGCTCGTCTTGATCATAAGTTTGATTTGATGTATGCTAAACGTGCCTTCGTGCATTGGTATGTTGGTGAAGGTATGGAAGAAGGTGAATTCAGCGAAGCAAGAGAAGATTTGGCAGCATTAGAAAAAGATTACGAAGAAGTTGGTATTGATTCGGTTGAAGGTGAAGGCAATGATGAAGAATATTAATTTTTATGGACTTTTAGTTGTGTAAGTGTGTTATAAAGAAATATTTTTAGAAATTCAAAAAGAATGAATGGCCTTTTTTCGAAAAAATTTTTTTATCGAGTGTAAAATCAAAACATGAAATAAAACAGCATGTGTTCCATTGAAAGTAAAACTGTTTTGTCAAAGTGGACGTTAGCGAGTTGTTCATCAATAGGTGTTTTACGCTGATGATTAAAAAGGAGTGCCAGGGCGTTCTAAACTCAATACTTCATACGAGTATCAAATGAGTTTTTAGCACAGGAAGTATGGGGGTCGATAAGAGACAAAATCAGCCCCTCTCAAATCAAGCTCATATTCACAAGTCGCATGTAGTTTTCCTCCGTGATTAAAACTAGCACCTCAAAAAGAACATTTTCACCCCTCCTCGAAACAATTTCGCACCCCACCTTTTCTCCCCTTAAATGAACTTTATTTAGAGTATTTTCCCCCTTTCCTCTTTGCCCAAAGCAAACCTCGACTACTGTATATCATTCGATAGGGACTTTCAGGGGCTACAAAATGACATATATCCCTGGAAAAAATAAGTTTTCCTCGGTATTTTGAGGATATTGTTACCAAAAGAACGTATTCTTTTTAAAGCAACGACATACTCTGGAAGTCTGTGAAATTTTACATTATCCTGTATATTTTCTCTTTTACAAAAGTAATTGTGTATTTCGATAGCCCGTGAAATTATCTATCATTCTATGCATTTGTGTCTTGTTTTGCACTTATTTGTCAAAGAATAATTCCAATATTATTTAGGCACCCTCCTTGAAAAACTCTTACAAACTGCACTTTGGAATATTACCATCAGATGAAAAAATTTCAAAGAAAGTGCGTGGAATCGCGAAGTATTATAAATTAATCGATGGTAGACTCTATCGTCTACAACGACTTGATGAGGAACATTCAAATCGATTTAGTTATAACCAACATTTATTAGTCATTCCAAAATCAAAAATTCAGGATTTACTGTACTTCGCACCTGATCACGCAGTTTCGCCGCATTTCAGTAGGAGAAAAACCCTACGTCAGTTGCATTCCCGCTTTTATCGGCTGAGAATGCGAAAGGATGTAGAAAATTATATTCATAATTGTGATACATGCCATCGTTTTAAAGCTAGAACTCAAAAGCTTGTTGGCAAGACGATCTCGAACGAAGTGCATGCTTCCTCGGAACAAAACATGGAGTTCTTATGAGATACATCGTTTTCTACATGAAAAACATGGAGCATTTGTGGAGATACATCGGTTGCTTCAAGAAAAGACATGGAGTATTTGTGAAGAAACATCGGTTTCTTCCGAGAAAACCAAGAAGTTCTTCTAGGAAACATCTTTTTCTTCATGAAAAAACATGGATTATTTGTGGAGAAACATTTGTTTCTTCAGGAAAATATACGGAGTGTTTCTGGACAAACATCGGGTTTTTAAGAAACAAACATGGAGCATTTGTGGATAAACATCGGCTTATTCAGGAACAAACATGCAGTATTTAAGGAAAAACAGCCCTTGCTTCACAAAAAGACACGCAGTATCGGTGGAGAAACATCGGTTTCTTGAAGAGGGAACATGGAGTATTTGTGGAAAAACATCGGTTGGTTCAGGAGAAAACGCGTTCTTGTGGACAAACGTCGGTTTCTTCCGGAAAAAACGTGAAGTATTTGTCGAGAAACATCGGTCTATCGTAGAAAGAAAAGGAGTATTTGGGGACAAACATCGCTTGGAAAAAATACGCTGTATTTGTGGAAAAACATCGGTTTCTTCCGGAAAAAGTATGTGCTTCTTTTGACAGACATCTTTTTCTTCATGAAAAAGCATGGATTATTTGTGGAGAAACATCGGTTTCTTCCAATATGTAGTTTTCATTTTTCGCCTGCATGCCCTATTTTGTTTGCGGAATTATTATTAATGTTATTTAAAGAGAACACACAGAATAAAAACACATATCTACATCTTTAATGAAATATCACCTTTTTTATTTCTGTTTTTAGTCCTATGTATAGAAGAACATAGAATGCTAGTGCACAACACGAAGTTTATTTTTCACTTTCTGACTTACATGCTGTTCATATCCTCAAATAACTTCACACTATTAAACATGTGAAGTGGGTCGAGCTGTTCAATAATATAAACGATTTTAAGCGATGTTGGAACCTTTTCAAAACTGCGTTCAGCCGTTTGTTCAAATTAGAACGCTGTCAAACGCGTTCGGAGTATCAAATATCTACAGCGTGCCGAGGCGTTTAATAATAGAAATGCTCTCAAACGCTGTTGTAACCTGTGTCAAAACGGCGTTCAAACGTCTGATCAAATCAAAACGCCTTAAGACGCGTTCAACAATTCGAACGCGTTCAGGGAATTTAATATCTTCGATGTTTAAACGCCTTTAATAGTCAAACGCCTTCAAACGCTTAACAAAAATTCATGAAAAAAGAGGTTCAAACGCTCCTCACACATAAAAACGTTTAAACACGTTCGACTCAAACGCTAGTTTTTACGAAACGCGTTTAAACGTAGATTTAAACCCCCAAAACAGTGTTCAAACGCGCTTTTTCTCAAAATTTTCCGAAAACTAAAATTCAAACGCGTTTTTTCGAACGCAGACAATTACATGGGATGCCTACAAACCAAATATAAATATATTCGCGATTTCTTTTCATGTGATTTAGCACTACTCTGCTCGATATTAGAGGCTATTTCTCCTCCTTTTTACAGTGCTACTGATCCTTCTGATAGTGTAAGAGTCTGGCAGACACATGTCGATGTCTGCATTGAGGAATGCGTCCCACTTAAGCGCGTAAATGTACTCCGAAAAGCCAATATAACACTTTCCAAAGATACTAGACTAAAAATGCGTAAAAAAAATACGGCTTTTAATCGCTGGAAGTCTGTCAAAACAGCTGCTTACACTCTTTTTAAACTTTTAAAAAGTGAGGTGATTAAATCAGTTAAGAAAGATAAGAAAAATCGATTACTATAGTGCTCTTTACGATTCTAAATTCACCACACATCTTGAACCATTAGATGCGGTTCAAGGTTTAGCAAGTCGCACTATTACCAGAAATTCCAGTTACGAAACTGAGAGTTTGCTTTAGTCAATAAACTAGGTTTATCCAACCTCAGTGTTAGGCGCCAGTACTTTCGACTCATATCGTTTTACAAAATTTACAATAACTTGACTCCTCTGCAATCTCACGATTATCTAGTTAAATTGACTTCTAGGTCTCTCCCAGCATCACATTCTTATACGGTCGACATACCCTTCACTGCTTTCGAGACTGTCCAGTCATCCTTCTTTTGGAAGACTCCATAAGACTGGAATGCTAGAGATCTAGAAAAAGTCGTATCCATTAATTCTCTCAGAAACTTTAAAAAGGTCTTAAAGGAACATCTTCATCTCTAGTCGTCTTTATTTTCTAATTTTATTTCTGAACACCATTTCTTTCGTTATTTTCCATTTTTGATATTTCAGTTGGTCATGATAGGCAGAAATTTTGAATTCATGTTTATTTTTCTGTTACAAGTCATTCTTATGTCTGTACTTCTTTTATGTACCATGGTTTGTTACCAAAAAGTAAAAATTAAGACAGAAAGAAAGAGTTCAAAACTTCAGAATATAGAGTATTTAAGCTATTCTATATCTTATTCATAGGAGATCTCGAAACAAATTTTGCAGAACCCTCAGGTTTCCCAAAAGGGTTTCTGAAAAACCTATTAAAAAACAAAAATATGCTTTTAGATTTTTTCGATCTTATAATCACGTTTAGCGGACAACATTAATCATATCCTGAGATTTTGAACTCGTTTTGATGTCTTTTGAGTGAATAGTGAATTTTTTAATATTAGGTGAGAACAGCCTAAAAACTCTCATTTTCGTAAAACTGGCTTTTCGGTAGATTTTTAAAAATTTTTCTAAAAATAAATATTTCCACAAACTTTAGCATGGTACCCGTGGTCCATCAGTCTTTAAGGCTACCGATGGTCACTGGGTGCCAGTCGTTGGACTCATAGGAAATCCGATAAAACGCCCGAACCGTGGAAAATCAAGGTGTCACTTTATTCCCATTTTCGAGGGGACACCCCGAGCTATAAGCCCATGAAAAGAAAGCAATGTAATCCTGTTGGAAAATCTTTCCAGACGGCCTAGTTTTCCAAAGATCTCCTAGAAAACCTGTTTCAGAAAACTCTTCTGAAAATAATGTTGGTTATGAAAACATGCCTCCAAGTCCCCTCTTTCGAATGGCGAAAATCGCAGGTCTCTGTCTTGCTTCTATCAAAAGTTATTCGCAATCAAAGTCGTTTGGTGATTTATGGGACACCCTGTAAAAGAACGTTGTCAGAAAAAGAACCCTTCTAAAGAATCATAGACAAATAAAAGACAGTCGTGTCTCGTTTTGGTTGGTTTTGCCCATATACATAAGATAATAGCTAGAAGAATAACATTCTAAACAGATGTCGCGCGGATTCAGTACTAAGAAAATTAGTTATTTTACAGTAACGGTTTTGGATGTTGATTGGTCTTAAACTTCCGTACCGTTACACACACATACACACCTTAAAACATCTTAATTTTAGAAAAAGTTTGAGTTTTTGAACTTGAAAAACAGCTTGGCTCCATCTATAAAGAGTAAATAATTCAAATTTTCACATTATCGAGCAGTGCTAGTGTGGCTCTATTCGAATACCATAGAATGACATTTTAAGCTTACTGAACTTCGCTATGGAAAACAAATACCCTCAACGAAAACCCCAAAATTGATGTAATTCACAAAATGTGATTCTTCCACCGAGCATATTTTCGTTCTTTTTATCCGAGCTGAACATTTGTTAACAAAAGTAAATACAGATTCGGAAAGCTCAATTCTCGAGGTTCATTTTTATATTAAGAGATTCTCTTAATAACGTTTAACTTCGGAGTATTTCTTATCTGCAGTAGAGCACTGAAAAAGAGTCCATTTGATATAATTACGTCACGGCTT